ATATATATATATATATATATATATATATATATATATAAGGCTCAAACAGTAATATCCCATGTTATAATTTATTACATTGCAATCGTAATCATGATCCAATTCTTCAGACCTATTTAAATAAATTATAACTATAGAATATTAGTGTTTGTGCCTTTTATATTATATTCTTGCTCTCTCCTAAGCATTGAGCTCTACCTGGATTTTATCCTCTTGATATATATATATATATATATATATATATATATATATATATATATATATATATATACTGACCACTAATATTATATATATATATATATATATATTTAAATAGGTTTGAAACGGTACAAAAGCGTATTAAGGCATTAAAAACTAGAAATGTAGTATTGTAGGCCATGATAAGTTTAAAATAAAACACAACAGTCGACCGGTTTCGTCCCCTCTCGTCAGAACTGTTAACGGGGAATTTAGATTATGAGGAAAAGAAAAAGTCTGTCATGGGTGACATGAATGAATGGACAGGGAAGGAAAAGAAAAAAAATATATATATATATATATATATATATATATATATATAAAATTATACCAACCAAGCTGCTAGAATCGCATCACAGCAAGTCCAAGCAAACAATCTCTGTTTGCAAAGAGAAGGCTGCCTAGACCTGATGTAAAGCGACTCCAGCACCTTAAGATGGAAAAGTGAGTGCGAACTGGCCAAGACGGAAAACCAGTCCACACTGAAAATCCATCGCACAAGTTGGATTCTTTATAAATGATCCGCAATGGAAGACCCATACGTGTTACGAATGGTATCGCCCAAAGAAAATTTTTGTTTAGTATTATCGCAGGTACGTGTTGTTTAATTCTCACGTCCAACCGCTGTGTCAGTTCTACCTATGTAGTCGCATCCACAACTACATTTGAAATAGTAAATAACAGAGTTAATATGGTGGGGGGTAGAAACATCTTTACACATAGATGAAAGTATGGACTTAGTTTGAAAGACAACACGAACGTTCGCTGCAAAAATAACACTCACGTGAACTACATGAAATACGCTAGCGATATATATATATATATATATATATATATATATATATATATATATATATATATATATATATATATATAATATATATATATATATATATATATATATATATATATATATATATATATATATATATAGTTAGGCAGTATATCTTCATTCAAACATGTTTCATTAAATAATATAGGCATATTATGTCTATTTTATACTGATCGTTTCCCGTTCTCTGATCAGTTTCTTAGTGTTAAAATGAAATTCATCAAGGAAGGCGCCGTAGTTTTTCCTACTCAAGTACTTTCGATCTCCTTCAAGATCATCCTCAGGGGTGAATTACAAAGACAAACATTGCATTTCATTGTGATGATGATTTAAAAAAAAAAACGCGGGAAGGCGCTCTGTTATAATTATTTTAAAACTTTAAATTTATCCGTTGTAGCTATGGAACCTTTTGTAAAACAAGCGTTTCAAGGGAGTTCCCTAAAAATTGGTAGCATGCAAAATGGCATTAAATGTTCGTTATATGCACTTCAACACGTTGCTGCTACACTCATAGTAAATTTTGTTGAGTGTTGGTTGTTTTTGTTATAGAGGGCCTCGAGACTGAAGTTTTTGTTTATTTTTTTCGTGGTGTAATATATTGGTGGCGTCAACAAATATTTTCCTGTATTAGGAAGAGGGACAGGAATGTGTGTTTTAAATGTTATGAAATAGAACTTGTATCCGATAAATGAAGTGTAAGATATCACTGATCCCCCTTGGGAAATACATGAACCGTCTCTTATCGCCGAAGCTCTGTGTTAAATATCAGGTTAGACTATCTTGGTGGTAGCCAGTTTAGGAAAGGCCAACTTAACCGGTCTTTACGTCTTGGGTATGACGATAAACTACATCCGCGTCCTGGGTAAACTACGTCCAACAGCAAGGTATCTGATAAGGAGGTTTTGAGGAGCGTGGAACCACCTCTTAATTGCTGGTGTTCCCAGGACCACCTGACCCGGGGTGGTAGTACCTATTAGGGTTCCATCTATGGGCAAATAGTTAACTCCCAAACTGCGGTGAAAATACTATGAATGTGTAAAAATGGTTTTTAATACCAGCAATAATTTTTTGGAGGAAAAATTATTACCAGCAATATATTTTTGAAGAAAATAAATATTACCAGCAATACGTTTTTGAAGAAAATAATATTACCAGCAATACATTTTTGAAGAAAATGAATATTACCAGCAATACGTTTTTGAAGGAAATAATATTATCAGCAATACATACTTATACTTATTACTAACAATATATTATTACCAGCAATACATTTTTGGAGGAAAAAAAATTACCAGCAATACATTCTTGTAAATAATTATTATCAGCAATACATTTTTGGAGGAAAAAAATATTACCAGCAATACATTTTTGTGAAAAATTTTACCAGCAATACATCATTACCAGCAATAAATTTTTGGAGGAAAATAATATTACCAACAATACATTTTTGTAAATAATTATTACCAGCAATACATTTTTGGAGGAAAAAATATTACCAGCAATACATTTTTAGGAAAAAAATATCACCAGCATTAAAAATTTTGTCGGCATTAAATAACCCATTGAAGTTTATATGCCTTAAAACAAATCCAACCAAACCAAGCCTTAACTTATTCTCTAAGGCAGACAACTTCAGTTACCGGAGCAAAGAATATCCAATAATAAAAGATATCTCCCCAAATTGTAGGATTCATACCGCCTATCAGTCTAAATGACTTCCAAATATTTGTGAGTCGTCTTTTCATTAAAACAAGAAAAATTTAGTCTTGTATTTAAACTTCAAGAAGACTGTTTCCGTGACAACAGACAAAGCAGAGACATAGCCTAGCATCCAAATATCCGGAGTAATTGATTTTGTATATCTTGGTCACATGAAATGGTAGTAAAACATCATATAATCTTTGGGGTTTAGAAAACATAAAGCTACACTGCAATCAACAAGTGTATCAATCAACACTAAAACAAACAAATGCCTCATATACATTCTTCCTGTTGTTTTATATGGTTTAGGTTGTAGAATAAACTTTAAAAAAACACAAGGTAAGCTAATATCCTTGGGAAAGGTATGAATCCTCTTCTTCTCCCCCCAGCTATGGGTAAATAGCAGGACAGACCGGGTTCTATAGCCTTGGATGACAACCGGTCTATCGTAGAAAGAAATAGCAACCTACTGCGGGAAAAAAATTCTGCCTCATCAGTGATGTATCGAAAGATACATGATCGCCTAAGCGTGTATCACGCATGGCACATAACTGAGGGTATGCTAAAATCAACAAGAATAGCAATCCGCACTAAAACAAAAGCAAACCTTATATATATTCTTTCAGCTGTTTTATATGGTTTAGCTTGCAAAATTTATATGGTTTAGTTTGAAAATTTTATATGGTTTAGTTGGCAAAATTTGACCTATTTAACCAATAGCTGTGCAAAAGATTCATACGAAAAAGGTCTTACAATCTAAAAATATTTTCTGGCTTTAAAATTTTTTCTGGCTTTAAAATATTTTCTGGCTTTAAATAACCTGCAAAGGGGTGATAAACTGTAAAAAAGAATCAATCTTTTTTATATTTTCTTCTTTCTTTTTTTCTTTTTCTTTTCCGAAGAATTCCTTAAATTTCGTAATTTTCTCTTATCATAATCCTTTCATATATAGTGTATTTTGCTGAATTGGAGGGTTTTTTTTGTTTTTTTGCTTTGGATCTTAGTTTGTGTTTGTTTTGCTGTTGTTGGGGGGGGGAGAGATGTGGAATGGGATTTTTTTTTGTTTTTTTTGTTTTTTGTTTTTTTTTCGTTTTTGTTCGTTCATGACAGACTCAGTAACGCAGCGTCTCCAATTCGCAGTCCGTGTCACGAGAGACGATCACAAATGGTGATTGAGCATTTCGTCTTTCTGTCGGATGAATTTTTTCCCCTCTCTTTTCCCGAAGAACGGTGTCTCTATGAAAAGCAGAACGTTCGAACTCGTCAGTCGAATAATCGGCCCGACTTCATCGATGTCGGCTTCCATGAATAGAAGCGGCATCTGGGCTTGCTTCTAATCTCATTTGTCACACCAATGCCGTCCTGTCAATTTCAAACCAGCCATGTCTCCAGTCATCTTCGGACTCAGGATTGGCATTTCAGAAAAGATTTTCTGAGAGCTTTAAGGGCAGAAGCACGTCGGCTTATTTTAACATCTCAGCCGCAGGCATTCATCCTTCACAGTCGAGAAATTATAAACCTTCATCTGATCTAATATTCAACAATATTATGAATAATATGACATACTTTTTAACTAATCTTCCTTTGTTAGCCGGGTCCCTTCAGAACGTGTACGGTCATGGCTCTCCACAACTTTCTTTTCCTTGTAACTCAAAGCAACGTTTAACTTTTTACTATCCCTGTCATTCCCCACTGTGTCATTCAATTACACAAACACCTTGACTAGGATACTCGCTGTCTCGCTCTGTCTCTCCTAATCTCAATGTGCGCTGTGGGCATTAAATTCTCCAAGCCCTCTTTTCTTTTTATAATGCGTCTCAGAAATTTCAACTGACTCTTTCAGATTTTAGGTACAAATGTCCTTCTTGTTGCCATTTTATTGAAAATGTCCTCGTTGCTCACACGTTCGTTACGTTCACACTAATACCCTCGGGGAAGGTTGGAATCAATCTCTTCTGCCTCCGCCGAGATATGGGCTTAATAGCATCGTTAACTAGGCTCCCTTGCCTTGCGGAGGCAACAAGTCTTAGACAAGAAAAAAAACATCGTATCTTTCCTGAGATACAGCAATGCTGATATGACTGTTGTACATGTGGTATCTCCGCGGCCCGGAGTCCTATAATCCTAATGGATAATATGACTCGTGATATAAGGAAACTGTGTTCTTTAAATTATGTCTAAAAATTGAATATTTGATTTGGGTCCAAATGATTAAAAATTGCTTTCTACTTACCTAAAGTCGTGATTGAGTTGTACTGTAGTTGAAGGTAGCGCAGTTCTTTCAAACTGAAAATACAATAAAAACTCAAAATAAAAGAGAATAGGACGATGAGAAAACAAACTATTCACAAAATAGTCACAATATAAAATCCACAATATAACGATGACGCTCCAAAATACTTAACAACTAGCAGTATAACCCGTCTTCGAGCGGGTATTTAATTTCTGGGAATTTTTGCCGTTCAATTGGGGCAGTTTAAGTTTAAAGTCAAAATCAGTATTAGTATTGGATGTAACTGAGACACATCCCCAAATGAGGAGGGAGGGGTAACAATTTGAAAGTGGGGCCCAAAATGGGATGTTTTTGCGTTCTCAATCTTGTAAGGAAGGAACCTCTTCCATAGACCGTCATAATAATAATATACGATAATTTTTATTTATAATATATTTTCTTTTATAATTCTAATAATCTTTTGCGTTAGATTTCAACTTTCTAAATTGATTGTACGCTGCTTTTTACAGACATTAAATTTTGCCTTTGTTTTTTGCGCAAATTGTAAAAAGTCAGTTTTTTCGATTTTTCATCTTCAAGGTTGTAATTTTTTTTTCAGCCAATTTGGACAGCAAAACCGACATTGAAGAATTATTTATCAAACAAAAAAAAATAATCGAAATTGGATGAAAACTATGGAAACGCATAAACAACATCTGATCTCTCTCTCTCTCTCTCTCTCTCTCTCTCTCACACACACACACACACACACACACATACACACACACATTTTGAGAATTATAGATAAAGATAATATTATTGTAATAATTTAAACTATTTATTTTTATTAAAATTTTTATGAAAGATATATATCCAAAGACAGATAAGATATATATCCAAGATATATACATACATATATATATATATATATATATATATATATATATATATATATATAGACAGAAAGATATATATCCAAGATAGTAAATAATAAAACGTTGCTGAGAGTTATAATGGACAGGAAATAGTGGAGAACCATTGTCGCCAAAAATTTGAACTCAAAACCGGCACAGAATAATTACCTATCAAACCAAAAAAATTCATTGAAATTTGATGAAAACTGTGGAAACGCATAAACAACATCCGGACACACAGACACACAGACACACTCACATACACACACACACACACACACATACATACATACAAACACATATTTTGAGAATTATAGATATAAGATGTAGTTAACAATAACATCGATCATTTTATGGACAGGTTCATATTTACTGAACTTCCCTTATTTCTATCCTTGAGCCAGACTTAATAAACCTCAGTAAACGAAGAAAACTTACCATTGAGTATTGACTAGCATTAATATCTCTCGCAGATTTTCATCTTCACTGAACTTCCTATATTTCTAGCCTTGTGCCAGACAATAAAATTTTTTTAATAATAAAATCGAGAAAATTGACGGACATTTGCTGATACCTCCTGACAAATGACAAAAACAATTACACAAAGGTTCGACTACGAAACACTGCAGTGGAAGTACTGTATATAACATCAATCAAAATTTCATATTTGTATTAATGTCTTATATATATATATATATATATAGGGTGTCCAATGCTGACCTTCTCTAAGGTCCTCATGTATAGACAGCAAAGGACAGTTGGGCGGCCGTGGCTCAGGTATAAAGGTATGCTGAATACTAACCTCTCAGTTGTCAATGTGCCTCATACTAACTTCGAGTTTCCCTGGATAGAAATAACTGAAGATATTTGTGCCAAAGTGGTATCAGAAATTTTGAAATCGGTCGTATTGACCGGCTAAGAGACGAAAGACAACAGCAAAAAACGTCATCAAATATTCCTGTGGCTATCTCCCGAAATCTTCATTGCTGCACAATATGTGGGCTTGTATGCAGGTCACTAGCTTGACTGAAGTGTCACATAACGACACAAACATAAAAACTGAATGAGGTTGTCGGATGATCATACGTCAAAATTAACATATTCCGTTGTATGGGTTGCACGTTTTTGCAATCATCAGACAAACCGATTTATTTTTTTAAAAAGTGGATCTATTTATGCCGATCTGGGTGTGGTTGAGAAGGCGAAAATTTCTTCTGTGCTTTGTCTGATGATCGCAAAAGCGTGAAACCCAGCAAACTAATATCTATACACCTTATATATATATATATATATATATATATATATATATATATATATTTAACATACAACAACGTGTGTTAGCACGTGCGATACCGTGTCTTCATCAGCCGCCAACCAGGGGTTTCGGTTTGGGTGGCTATGGCAGGACCGCCACCCCTGGCGCCACCAGCATATATATATATATATATATATATATATATATATATATATAAGATTTAAATTTTAAGAAACACCAAATATTTTTATGTACAGTGCTCAATATTAAAAATATTAAAATAATATTAAAAATAGACCGTTAATTATATTATATGAAAAGATTACTTTACTTTT